CATATGGATCAAAGACTTAAATGTGAAACCTAAAACTATGAAGTTCCTCAAAGAGAAACTAGGGGCAAATTTACCAAACCAAACTCATTGCCATCGAGCAAGATCCAACTATTAGCAACCTCTCCATGGGTTTTCAAAATGGCAACACTAAGGAAGTAGATTGCTCACAACCTTTCTTCCAAGGAGTGGCTGGTGGGTCTAAACTTCCAGCCTTCTGGTTAGCAGTCAAAGGCCTTAGGGGCAAATTTAGAGGCCCTAAAATGTGACATAAATAGACTATCAATCATAACCCAAAATGCACAATGCACAAACAAAGATAAGCTAGATGAATGGGACCTTCTTAGAATTAAATTTTTATGTGCTTCCAAAGACTTCTTCAAAAGAGTCAAAAGAGAACCTACAGATTGGGGAATATATGACATATATGTCATATGAATATATGTCAAATGACAACTCTGAGAAGGGACTTATACCTAAAACTTATAGAAAACTCCAACACCTTAACAGCAGAAAGACAAATAATCCAATTAAAAAATGGGCAGAAGACATGAACAAACACTTCACCAAAGAGGATATTCAGGTGCCCAACAAATACATGAAGAAATATTCACCATCATTGGGCATTATTGTTGTTGTTATGTGCCGACAAGTCGGACCCAACTCATATCGACACCTCCTTGGATTTCCAAGGCGGTGTCACTATGGAAGTAGATTGTTCAACCTTCCTTCTGAGGAGTGGGGTTCAAACCCACCAGCCTTCTCATTAACATTCAAGTGCCTTAGGCACTATTCCATCAGAGAATAGTATTAGTCAATGTATGGGTATACATATGGGTAGTATATATTAGCATATATGTGAGTAGTATTAATCTAATCTAAATAAGCTCATAAAGTTAAATAGTACTGGAGGGAAAAGCTACTGACATCCTATGATATGACAGAAAATTATTACTGACTTTTCCATAAGTTCTTTAGATAAAGTGATCAATATAAATGAGAAAAATAGGGTTATTGTTTGTTTGAGCTACGTGGAAATGCCTGCCAATCTAATTCCAAACATTTTCCAGTGAAAACCCTATGGATGACAGCAGTCCAATCCACAACCTATGATGGGAGTGGTATAGGATCAGGCACCATTTTATTTAATTTTGCATGAGTTTGCCTTGAGTTGGAAACCAATTCAACAGCAGATAACATCAACAATGAACCAATAATTTCACACTTCACAACAACACACATTGTTACAGTCTAATTAAAAAATAATTAACTATATTTTTATACAATAAAATAAGGTCTTGTAGAATAAGTATGTACTGAATTGTAACTCAAACCTAAACACATAACTAGTATCTTGGACTGAGTTGTGCAAGAAGGCAGGCACAACACACATGTGACAATTGATATGTGACTATAGATATAAAATAAACACTATTTTGATGAAAGAATTAATATGAGAAATATATGAAATGTGTCAATAATTTTCAATGGATTGCATGGTGAAATGGTATTTTATTTTTTTGGTTAAATAAATATGTTATTAAAAATTGATTTCACTTACTTCAGTTTAATTTTTCTTTAAGTTAGTGTTCTGGTTACCTAGTGCCACTCTGACAGGAGTATACCACAAATGGGATGGCCCCAACAAACAGGAGTTTATTCTTACAATTTGGAGGCTTTAAGTCCAAGTTCAAAGTGCCAGGCTCTAGGGCCTGGGTGAAAGCCCCTCAGCCTTAGGGTCCAGCTCTGTCTCCTGCTCCCAGCCCACTGGAGCTAGAGGCATTTCTTCATTCAGACAGCTACTGGCTGCTGAGGCTGAGAAGCCCAAGGTTGACAATAAAAAGGCACAGTCCCAATGTTACCAAACCACATGGCAAGCCATTAACTTAAGTACATTGTAAGTCCCAAGGTCGGCAGAGCATAGCAGACTGCTGAGCAACAACATGGCTACATGCAGGATCCAAGTGTGCCATAGGCTAGAGACCATTCCCAAGGGCTTCTCCTCATATTAGGAAGCAGACCACATACCCAAAGGCAGCTACCCAGTTGGTTGTGGTAGATCTCACCTTGGAGTTGATTGCCAGTCTCCTCATGGAAATTAACTACCACCAGCTGCCCAGCCACTCAACCAGGCTCAGCCAAGTTGACACACAAACATAACTACCACAGTTAGCTACTGGAAAATTTAAAATTACGAATACATTTTGCTTATGTGTCTTTTGGTCAGTGTTGACCTAGAATAAAAAAGAATTAAGACAATACCCATTACATTAAAACCACAGTTGTTTTTCATATTCACATTTTTTTATTATAATATTGAAAAAGAAAACATTATTTTTATTCAATAAGAAAAATGAATATAAATTATTTAAATAAAAATATCACCTGACACTATTCCACAACAAATACTCAGAAATATAATTAAATTCTTAAAAAACAGATGGTTTCCCTAGCTGCCCTTCAGGTCTGGAAATGAACCCACACCTGTGGCTTCCAGTCAAACAATAGACAAGCATATGAGTTGAACATTTACCTGAGGTAGATACACTCCTTGAAGAGAAAAATCATGGGAAAAAGAAGGGCTGTTTATGCACAGGGACATAGCTCAGGGGGCAGGAGTGCATGGAGGGATGGACACAGGGAAGAGGCAACTATCGGAAGTATGAGGGGAGATGTTGCACTGTGGTAAATTGTGGTCAATGTCATGAGACAAAGTGTATGTGAACTGCTGAATGGAAAAGGAATTTGCTCTGAAAATTTTCACCCAAATCACAATTAAAAAAAAAAAAAAAAGACAGTTATGCAATATAAGTAAAAAGGAGAAAATTAAAGGAGTATATAGCCACCAATGGAAAGTCAGAAATCTTGACTGGGATTTGAAGGAACAAGGAATCCTCAAGAAAGAACACATCATATTTGAGAACTCAATTAAGTCAGCTAAGGCAGACATGCAAAGAGGTCATCTTATTCCAAATCCATGAAATCAGGGCAAGAGAGTGGATATAGTGACAGGAAACAAAATCAAACCAAAACTCATGACCACTGAGTTGATTACAAGTCTTAGCAATCCTATAAAACAGAGTAGAAATACCCTTGAGGTTTCAAAATATGGAGATTTTAAAAGCTAAGATTTTGGTTAACAGTCAGAAACTTTGATCACTGTACCATAAAGGCTCTAAAGTAAGTAGAGACATAGAAGAAAAAAGGATAAGTCATGACTTCATAAAACCTGGGGTATTTAAACTGTTTATAGTATAAAGGGAATCCTTAGATCTTTTAGATGATTAAGCATTCTACTGCTAACAAAAATGTTAGTGGTTCAAGTCCACCCATAAGTACCTGGGAAGTAAGACCTAATAATTTGTTTCTGAAAAATTAGCCCTTGAAGACACTACAGAGCACAGCTACTCTGACACATATGCACACATTCATTCTGAATTCATTCATTCTGAATCAGAATTGACTAGACAGAAACTCTTATTTATTTTAATTAATTAGCAGTCATATGGATTATGATTGCTATATGATTATAGTTGGTTTGTTTGTGTGTGTGTGTGTGTGTGTGTGCTTTGGAGTCAATTGCAACTCATAGTGACTTGATGTGACAGAGTAAAATTGCCCCAGATTATTTTCCCACGTAAGGAGCTTGAATCCACCAGCTTCTCTGCAAAAGAAAGATGTGGTAGTCTGCTTCTGTAAAGATTTATGTCCTTTGAAAATCCCATGAAGTTCTACTCTACCCCATACGGTCACCAAGTGTTGGAATCAGCATCACCAGAGTAGGTTGGATTTTTTAAATCTTTACAGGAGAAGATCTCCAGGTCTTTGCTCCCATGGAGCAGTTGGTGAGTACAAACAACTGACCTTTCAGTTAGCAGATAATTGTTTAACCATTGTGCCACCAGGACTCTTTATGATCATGCTACATAACTATTTTGAAACCTTTTAAATATATCTGTTTTGAATATAATAATCCCAGAAATTCAAGTGGGTGGGAATATTATTTATTCTACAAATCTAAAAGAAGTCAAATTATGGTGATAATAAAAATATATAGAATAACTAGTAAGATAGCAGAAATGATTTTCCTTATTTTTATTTTCTACTGTTTTTATGAAGTAGTGAATACATGTGTTTGAAAATTGAATATCATACATTATCTTTGGAGAAATAATAAGTAATACTCTAAAGAAGCAGTGCCTGGCAATGTCAATGAAAGAGAAGAAACTACTAGAATAACCTCACACTGGGGATTATTTGTTGCATTGTGTGTTTTTAGACATTACATCCTTCCAAGAAAAGAATGCAAAAATCATTAGGTTTGATTTTGATTATGGAATACAGAGTCAGATGCAGCTGTGACAGGAGAAATGTAGAATATAGTAATATTAACATATATAACTCCCCCAAAATTTTCTAGTTGGTTCCATTAATGCCCAAGCCATATATTTTAAAGGTAAATGAATATTAAACACGGAAGCAGTAGTCAAGAATTTAGATGATGTATTGCACTGGTTAAATCTGCTGCAAAAGACCTTGAAAAGTGTTAAAGAGGAAAGTTATCACTCTGAAAATGAAGGTGTGCCCGACCCACACCAGGGTATTATCAATTGCCTTATATGCATGTGAAAGTTGGACAATTATTTAAGGAAGACCACAGACAAATAGATGTAATTGAGTCATGTTGTTGGTGAAGAATACTGAAAATAATGTAGATTGCCAGAAGAATGAACACATCTCTTGAAAGAAGTACACCTCTAATTTTCCTTAGAGGCTAGAATGGCCAGATTTAGTCTCATCTAGTTTGATCATATTGTCAGAAGAGATCAGTGTCATGAATGGTAAAGTAGAGGGTCAATGGAAAAGGGGGAGACCCTCAATGAGATTAGTGACTGCTACGATGGACTCAATTGTAACAAGGATTGTGATAATAGCATCAGTGTGAATTAGAGCAGACTCCATGACATCTAACAGCAAAAATAACAGAATATTTACTTCATTAGTCACACTTTACCACCCAGTAATTTGTATAGTGCTGTCTTCATATCCCTATTCCTTAGGCTATAAATGAGAGGATTCAGGCTGGGAGGTAGCATAGAGTATAATACAGACATAAGCAGATTCAGTGATGATGCAGATTTGAAATCTCTACCTAAATATGTAACAATGCCAGAAAATAGGAATAAAGTCAAAACAGTGATGTGAGGCATACAGGTAGAAATCGTTTTGAACCTGGCTTGAGAGGATGGAATCTTTAAGACAGCTGAGAAAATCTGAACATAAGAGACAATCATGAAAATAAAGCATAAAAAGACAAAGAAAAGGCTAGCAATTATAAATGCATATTCCAGAATTTGTTCCTCAGGACAAACAAGTGCAAGAAGTGATGGAATGTCACAGAAGAACTGATGTACTATGTTGGTTCCACAGATATTGACAGAGAATATACCTGCAACGTGAATGGATCCATAGACACATCCACTAAACCATGATGCAGTTACCATCCGCACACAGGCACTTCTATTCATAATGGTTTCATAGCGCAGAGGGTGGCAGATAGCAGCAGAGCAGTCATAGGCCATGACTATAAGGAGGGCATACTCTGCACCAGCAAAAAAAATAAAAAGAAACATTTGTGAGGCACATCCTAGGAAGGGAATGGAATGACTGTTGGTCAGAGAGTTCATGATGGATTTGGGAACTGTGACAGAGATGTAGCAGATATCAATCAATGATAAATTCTTCAAGAAGAAATACATGGGACCTTGGAGGTGCGGGTCAATAGTGGTGAGGCTGACAATGAGGAGATTCCCCATCAGTGCTGTCAGGTAAATGAGGAAGAAGAGTGCTGCACACAATCTCTGAAGCATCCAGTCATCAGGGAACCCCATTAGCAAAAATTCCATTATTGTGGATATGTTGGCTGGTTTCTCAATCATGCTGACTGGTATCTGTGGAAATAAAGATAACATTGATAAGTAGTCCTTTCATATATGAATTCACTATTCTGTATCAGTTGGTTATATTTCCTTTGCTTCATCCTTAACTTAGCTTGATTCTGTTTGGAATGAAGGTTATCAGAAAAGTCCCATGGAAACAGCATTATGTAGCTCCACATTCTTATTGACAGTGCAAGCTATTAATGGACTGGACTTCTACCCAAAATTTGGTGTTCAAATCCACCAGAGTTGCCTCAGAAGAAAGATATTGCAATTTATTTCTAATAAATTAACCACTGAAAACCCTATGGAGTACAGTTGTATCTGGACACACATGGTGTTTTCATGAGTTGGAAAGGACTCAGGGACTACTGTTTTTCTTTCTTTCTTTTTTTCTCTTGTGGTATTAGAGAGAGCAAACTGAAATATAATTTTCATTAAACACAGTTTAGAGAAAGGCAGGGGATGCAACAAAGTGCAATTTGTCCATGAAGCAGGAAATGTTATTTCACCTACCATGTCTTAGGAGATTAGTAGGCAGGTGTGGGGATTTAGGATAGACTGCATGCAAAGCAATTAACACAACCTTTCTCTTTTCTGTTGACTGTTTCTAGAAGTCATTAGATAAGCACTCTTCTTGAATTTGGTGAAAAATAAAATAAAAATAAAATAGTTTATTTTAGTTACTATTTACTATTTTATTTACTATTTATTTATTTACTGTAATAGTTTAGAGTAAAATAAAATGAAAACTATGTAGTTTTGATGGATGGTTAAAAATAATATAGAGAAGGTTCTAGGCAGAATAGGGAAGAAGCCTGAATTAATATCACATTGGGATGCCTGATGTCAAATGGCAAGGATTTTCATAAAATTTAGGATGCCAATATTGTTACTTTTGTCCCTTATACTAGAGAGTAGAGAACAACAGTTCCTATGATGGAATATCTACTCTCTCCCTATTAACTACAACCGGGACAAATGGCCTTGCCTGAGAAAATACAGTGAGTCTTTTCATGCCCACTTAAATAAACGGAGCCTTCTCCCTCATTCTTGCATTTACAAACATATAATCTCACCCCCATCCTTCACCCCAATACCTTTCATTCAAGCAAAATATGTCTGATCTGGACATGTAGTTAGAGGTCAACAAACATCTAGGATCCTCAGAACATTATCTCATCCTTTCTTTAGAAACAAATCAGATTGATTATAGTCTCATCAATTAGCATAGGTTTCTTCCATGGATATAGAAAACAGTGTTAGAATTTCTTCTTTCTGAGGACAATAGAGGAAAAAGTTGAATAAGTTTATCAAAATTTTCAAAATGTATCAAAATTAACCATTAACCAACATTATCAAAATTCACAGAGATTTCTCTTCCCATTGTTTAGGCCTGACAGGCATGAAGTGGAAAGACCCCAGCAGACACATTAGGATGGGATACATTTTCTCTCTTCCATCTCATCACTGTCTATGTTCTTATATGTGTGACAACAAAGGATAGTTCGGTATCTGTCCTCAGTTGGCACTTTCATTCTGAAATAGCTAGGTATTCCATGAACAAGCCTTCTTAATTATGTTACCAGTCCTATATATCCTCTGAGTTGCAACCACTCCACACCTCCACTATTACCTCAAGGATTATTTCAAGTTTAATATTCTTTGAAGTTCCTATGGGGTCACCTTTGTATAACTGCTGTGGGATTTAAGGAGAAGAAATGGACATGGTGTATGATTAGAAGATGTGTTTCCAGTGGGACCAGACCAAACCTAGGCTCTGGAGCTTCAGAACACTAGGACCTGGTTTCTGTACAGAAGAGTAATTTAAATGCCCCTAGAGGTACTCTGTGATAAGCATATCACACAAACACTATGAATATGTTCAGTTTGGGTCTTCTATTCATTAATGTGTTACTTTTTCAGTAGAAAATAGAATATTTGAATTCAAGTATTAAAATTTATATTCAGGAATACATATTAGGCCAGAAATACTATTTTGTTTTATTTTTCCTTAGCTCTGCTGTTTTCTGTTTTTTTTTTTTTAAAAAAGAAGACGGCATACGAGATGTCGAGCAGTGACTGG